ATATTAATTTGGTTTCTATAATTTATTAAAAAAACGTTTAAGTATTCCGGAATAAAGTCTTCAAATATCAGTACGTCCCAACTCATTTTCTCTGTGAAAAAGAGGGAGGCTTGTGAGTGAATGTGCCCATTTGGCTTCGCCTCGCAATTTTAATTTGGTTTTTTTTCCCACCTCCCCACCTCGCCTCCATCTTCATCATCGTGCAACCTCCATGGCAGTCAGTCTCAGGCTTTTGTTAATGGCCTTGTGACAGTTTTTCTTTCCCCGCATCAGCCACCCAGTGAACACCACCTCTTTTTCGCACCCACAGTTGCAATCGGTTGCTCTGTCTCTTTCGCCAGCATTTTTCCTTAGGTCCTCTGCACTTTGCTTTGGTTTTTGGATTTTCGGTTATATTTTTCTTATTTTTTTTCGAATTCTTTTCGGGGTTTCCATTTGCTCTCAAGGTTTTCCGACTAGCGGAATTTGTGTGCATGTATTGTGGGAGTGAGAGGCCACTTACCACTTGCCCTCGCTGTGAGTGTGTGTGTGAGTGCGTGCATGTGTAGGTAAGTGGAATCCTTCAAGACGCGCCTGTGTGTGTTTGGGATTTCAAAAAAAAGTCCCATCATGTTGAATTTGTTTATAAATGCAGTTAAGTCATAAGAAACTAGGGAGTATTACTAAAATAACACCCAAAAATAGATATTATAATGTAATATCAAAATTATTTTATCCCTTATCAAAGAGATAATAATTAAGATCAAAGCTGAAAACGGACTAGTATTACTCGCTTAAGGTCTGTTTGAAAGCGCTGCTGAAAATACCTGAGTTTTCCTTTGTTTTCTCGGGATTTGCGAGGTATTTTCCTGCCAAAGGACTCTCACCGACACTCTCTGCGCGTGTGTGGGTGAGCTGCGAGTTTAACAAACTAATTAAGTTGGCGCTGGGCGTTGAGCTTAGCGCTCTTTTTTAGGCGAAAGAGGCAACCTTTTGTCTAGGGCAAACGTCACACATACACATAAACATGATCCCAAAACAGACACACACACACACACACACACAGACCGACAGCTGCCTCACTAATACACACTCGTGCACACTTACACCCACGCAATCAGCATGCGTCGTTCATTTATTTGCACATATAATTAGGCACATGAAGAGCCGCCGTCGGGCACACTTCCGTTTCCCCCGACTCCCCTGCTCCCTTTTGGCCCCTTTCTCCACCCCTTTTGCCTTTGCTTTCTCCGCCCCTTTCGACACCCCTTTCTCCTGGCACAACAACAATGCCAATCTCCCGCCAGCCAGCTACTTTCGCCTTCATCCGGCTTGAGTGCGACTGTGTGGCTTAAAGCACGTCACGGCTTAAATGAATTGAAGCCCACCACCCATACACACATACACAAAAAATAGAACCACACATCACCCTACAAAAAACATCCAACAGCACCTACTAACTTCTACGTAATTGTTTTTGGGGGCGCCTGCAAGTATGCAACAAAAAGAAGAAGCTCTGGGAGTTGCTCAAAGGATAATGGTGGAAATACTCTAACTTAGAGATGGACCAGCATCGATAATAAATAAAAAATGAACAAAAAATCGATACAAAATTTACAAAATATCGAAAATTACACAACTGAAAATAATGAAAAATAGACAGTTTAAATGGCAATCATAGAAATATTTATTTAACGAATTAAGCTTAGCATACAATGTCTAAGATAGAAATATATAATATATAATGGTTTAATCAAAAAACTCAAAACTATCGATAATCGATTCTGAAAGTTTTGCCAAACATCGATAAGTTATGAAATATATATTTTCAAGATTTCTTAAATTTAGCGACATCAAATATTGCAATATTTTTGAAGCTGTCTTTAATGTTTTATACCTTTTTTTTAAAACATGGTTTAAGCAAAAACCTGAAAAATATCGAAAGTTGATGCCCTAAAAGCTTGACAAAAATCGATAAGTTATGAAATATTACTTTCCAAATTTTCTAAATAAGATGACCTATGACCCATAATGTTTTATAGCTCTTTAGATTTGTTAAAATATAAATCTTTTATAACTTTTATCTTTTATATCTTTTATAATAAAAAATACAGAACCATTCCTGATGATGAGTAAATAAATACGTTTTTAAAGAACCAAATCTTAGAGTGTATACCATTTGGCTTGCCCCAGGCTTTACTGGGAATAAGTCGGAAGATATATATTTCCAGGTGGGTTGTTTGCCTCAAAGTTGAGTGTCTGTTGCCACGCTCCCGGCGCCCACAAAGCACCTAGCAACTGAAGTATCTAGTTTATAATTTCTAAGAATTTAGTTTTTCACCAAACGCATCTCAAACACAAACCAAACAATTCTTTAAGTGTTGCACAAGTTTAGTGAATTTTTCAAAACGCTGGACAGCGGCTATTTATTTATTTGCGCCATCTCTTTCGCCGGTCCAACTGGCCCTCTCTTTCTCACGCAGAACAATTGTCCTGCTCGCTCATCTTTTGTTTCTATTTGGCCTTTCTTCACGCTTTTCTCTCGCTTTTTGTTCGGCTCGTCTGCGTTTTTTGTGTCCTGGCTGTGACAGGACGCTTTATGAGCTTGAGTGTTGTTTTTTGTCCCCATGTTCTGTAAGTTTTTTCCGAGTGTTACGACAGGTCCTTGGGATGTCAGGATAAGCAGGCGCCAAGTATTCGGCGACTTTGGAGGGAATGAATGCTGCATTCATGGTGCGAATGAATGCACGAGTGCATTGCGAAGTAACTAAATAAATATTGAACAAAGAAAGGATTAAAAAGGGCGGCAAAATAAGCAGATAACTGAATGGCAAAGGAAAGGGATAATTGAATATAGCAAATTAAAGTTTACTGAATTAAATCGATTGGGAAAATCCCGATCCATAAATAAATATAAGCAATTTAAATGTAATTCATTTAATATTCGACAAAGAACTCAATCTGTAAAGTAATTTAAATCACATTTAATCTAAAGTAATTTAAATTGTTATTTGTTCTTTAAAGTAAATATGTGAACATAAACACAGTTTCCTCCTAATTTGTTGGTCCATGAATTTTAATTAACAGAAAATAATACCCTTTTCCAGGTAACAAGGCTAAAATCCTAATGAATTTGTATCCCATTTCTAGCTCCTTTTTGCGACCAATTAAAAAATTGAAAACCAGTTGTGGTTTTCCAACCAGCTAAGTGGAAATTTTCACATTTAACGTTCGCATTTGTTTTGACTATGCAAAAATGAAATAAACTTCTGGCTGCAGAGCAACAATATGGAGTGTGCATAACACCATTAAAAATACAAAATCGACGGAAAAGGAAAGCGGGGAAAATGTATGCCCAAAACTGGAAACTGAAAACTGAAACCGAACTAAAAACAGTTTGTCGCCGACGCTGCTGTTGCCATAACTTTTGCGGAAAAGCGCCACAAAGTATGCCAGGGAAACTGGCGACATTGTTGCTCACCGCCACCGCCCTCATTTTCCAACATTTTCCCAGCACTTTCCACTTCCCACTTTCACCCGCCCCGCCCCGCCCTCCTTAAAAACGAAATAGTAGCAACAAGCGGCAACAACTTTGTGCCAAGTTTACTTAATGACCCCGGTATAAATTTTACTTAAAACATCATTTTTCTTTACGACTTTTCCACCAGCCTTGCGAGGAAAATGAGAGGGGAAGGTGTTGGGAAAAGCTTGGAGGGGCGGCGCGAAGGGCGGGGTGGGAAACTCACAGCTGTGTGGGGCAAGAAAGTTGCGGAAAAGTGCCTGAGCCAAGAGTTTCCATTCGAATTGATATTTTGTGTTTACCAATTCGGTGAGTTTTCAATTAGGTTGTGTCGAAATTTATGTTTCTGGATAAGTTACTTATAGTAAGTGGTGGATCTTATTTATAATACAAATAGAAATATCGCTATTAAAAATAACTAAATACAATATAGTATCTATAATTTAGTATGATATACTACGATTTTTTTAACGATGCATTTATTAATTTTGTATTAATACGACTTATAATTACCGTGTGTTAATATTTGTTATTTTTATTTTGAGCAACCTCTGATTGCTTAAACATTTTTTTACAAAACCAAAATTGGATTAGGCTTAGATCTAATTATGGTTTTATGGAAACATGTCTTACCTAATAAAATGTGTCTTTTAAGAAAACAATTTCACAGAAAATCCAAAGTCTTTCAATAAAGCAGAATGTTACATGTAGCTTCAAGAAATTCAAAGGATATTCTATACTCTTATATACATTTATGTGCATATTGGCCTTATGCCAGATTAAATTGGCGTGAATAAAAGTTGCGGCTTAAAGGAGCCTGATTATAAGTTTAAGGCAGCCACCTAGCGGCAAATTGAAGTGCGCCCCGTCGGCCAAGATGAGCTGGCAGTTTTATGGAAGTTTCTATATTTTTTTTAAGAACTCCCCCAAAACTCGGGGGCTTGGCCCCCAATTGACTAAACTTTCCTTCCACATTTTCGGGCGGAGTGGAGTGACTTTTGCTTTCGCATTTTTTGTAATTTTTTCTTTTTTTTAGGGGGAGAAGAGGACTTGTTACAAGAATTCTGCCAGCCAGAAAAACTTTTTGCCGCAGACAAGCGAGCAGAGAAAAAAAAGGAAGCGCAAAAGATGACTAACAAAATGAAACTTTAAATGCGCCTTGTTAGGCGAGTTTCCGTTTCCGGTGGCATTGCCTTCACTTTATAGGGCTATTTTCCTCTGGACGATGGTCCCTGAAATATATATTTATTAAATATGCTATTTCCTATTAAATTTAATAACGGATATCAAATAAAATACAAGCTTTATGATATTTATAAATGTTAGGACTTAAATCAACATCATCTATAGTCTCACTGAACCATTAAATGATTATAAATGTTGTATATATTGTGTGCTTTTTAAGAAAGCATGTCTATCTTAATGACAATTTAAATATTTCTAAATAATTTTCCATTGAAAGCAAATATTAATCTAATTCTTTTGATTGTTTTTATTGCAGTTTCGATGTAGAAAATGGCCAGGGCGCTCGATCACCGCTCGAGGGCGGCTCTCCCAGCGCCGGTTTGGTTCTACAGAATTTGCCGCAGCGTCGCGAATCGTTTCTATATCGCTCCGATTCCGACTTTGAGATGTCGCCCAAGTCCATGTCCCGAAACTCAAGCATCGCTAGCGAAAGGTAAGTCTTTCTAAACGACTTCGAAAGCATTGAGTTTCCCATCTCCCCCATTCATTAATAACTAATTTATATATAAGTTTTGAGTTCATCTCGTATCACGTTTAATTTAAAAGCCGAGTTTTTTCCCTTTATTTATTTTGTTTTTGTGAATGCCAACCATAAACATTCATCTGTTTATTTATGGGCTCAGATAATGATTATGCTGGACATTTTCAACACCTTTTCCATGTTTGTGGTTCCCCATCCCTGAAACGGCTTTGATTATGGTTTTTCGCTTATGGGTCCTTTGCTTTGTTTTGCCTTTTTTTTGGTACAATAACTTTGAGTGCGATTAATGTTGTTTTCTGTGGTGTTTATCTACACTATTACCGAAACTATTCGGAACTATTTTTCCTATAATGACGTGTCTCTCTCTATCTCCTTTCAAGGGGTTTTCCTAATTTATGCCAATTTTTTCTATATATTTTTGTTTGGGCCTTGACCAACACTGTATACAAAATATTATTATTATCGATAATCCATTTCCATTCTTTTCTATCTGGCTTCCTCGATAATTATTTTTCTTCTATAACTTTATTCTCTGTATTTTTATGAACGAAATTTCTTATTTCAATGCATTTACTCTGTACTTTTTCTGCTTTATTTAGTCTTTACCAACACTATATGCAAAACTACCAATCTTCTTTTCTATTTCTACTCTGTGTTTGTAAAATGCAATATAAATTGTTTTGAAATAAATAAGTTATAATTGGTATTTGCCTTCTTTACTGAAAATAACTAAGAACAAATGTAGTTCATAATTTCCAGTTTATGTTGCGGGTGTTTAAGGGACTTTGCAGAAGTATTTGAACAATTTCGAAAGGCATATGGAGGGATTCGTGGCGCGTCGCTGAAAAGGGGGATAACTCAATGGTGGAGCTAGCTAAATTCCAAGCGCACACATGCGAAAAGTGCAACAACTTTGCTGGCATCTCTCGGCTACAGAGTTTTCCTCATCGCTATTCCCCTTCATATTTCCCAACCGTTCCGGGCTTTCCTATGCTCCTCCTCTTTTCCCCTCTGTGTGGGATTACTGTGACTTTGCTGGGAGCTTAGCCCCCCCAGATTTTTCCTACCTATTTTCCGACCTCATCGTTAAAGTTCACAAAAATATGCAAACGCCTGCACTACGGAAAATATGATTGCTAATACATGCGAAATGAAAAGTTTTTTTCAACTAAATAATAAGGGTTGATTTTGGATTAACTTTATGGCAGTTTAAAATGGGTATCCCTTAAGGAATTGAATAATGGATTTTTATGTTGCCTTATAAGTTAAATTTTTAAATAAAAAAAAAAAACAAAAACTTTAAAAATCTAAAAAAAGTTATACAATGTCTGTAGAACCGTGATGTAAAATCCTTAAAAAAACTAGTCCAGAAATGTCTCTTTTTTTCGCCCAGTACTAACTGCCTGATGCTGTGCATATTTTCTCCATAGCTTTTACAGGGCCTAAGGCCTCAACTTCAATTAGTTAGTCACAGTAGAACCACCCTCACCTCCCGAAAAAAAACCCCCCTCATTACACATGCATGGCCAAAAACGCGTTATGCAACACTGAGGCCGGAAATACAATTTTTTTCGGCTCCCCTTTTTGTTGTTTTTGTTTCCCTATATGTGTGTGTGTGTGAGGTTGTTGTTTTTTTTGGCAAGCCTTTTGGCTTCTGTGTTTTTGAGTGCATCCCCCTGCACTCCCACAATTTTTTTATACATTTTGGCAGCGGCAATGGGGCCACACACACACACACACAGACACACCCATGTATTATGCACAAAAACAATAACACCTAATTACACATGCAGCTGCAACAACAACAACAACCAAAGTGGAAGGCTGCTGATGATCACCATCAAAAGATGGAAATATAGATGGGGGCGGAAAAGTGGGGGTGAAAGCGGGGGGTGAAAATCGAAAGGGAGAAGGCTGGCAAAATATTTACATTTTTACAGCTATTTTTACAGCGCCAAAAGTGCGCTTTTCCCCCTGGCCACACTTTGTGTTTTCGTTTTCCCCCTTTTTGAAATATAGAGCGCAAATTATGGCTGCAAAAATTACAAAAGCCAAAATATTTGGCACAAAAAAAAGAAGAAAAACACTTAAGAGCCTGACGGGAAAACCACTTGAAACCCCAAAGTAAATAGATGATTTACGACTGCGGAAATAACAAGATTTTCATGCCTTTTTAAAGACTCGAAAATGGAGGGGAAAACTCAATCACAGGAAATGATTTACGAGATTAATTTATATTTTTGAATTGAAGTCTTAATTGGATAATCAATATATTACATGTTCTAATTTTCTTAGTTTTATTTATTATTTATATATTTTTTACCCATTTTCGGATTTTTTATAAGGGGGTACATCGGTTTTTTTTGGGACTCAGATTTTGGTCAAAAATACTCATTTTTTCGTGGTTTTTCAGTCGTAGTTTAGTCAAATCAAGGCGTACAGCTAAAAGACCGACTGTTTTGAGCAGCTTGCTACAAATGCTACCGATCCCCATCACCTTAAGGAATATTTATTTTTTGACCCATTTTCGGATTTTTTATAAGGGGGTACATCGGTTTTTTTTGGGATACAGATTTTGGTCAAAAATGCTCAATTCTTCGTGGTTTTTCAGTCGTAGTTTTGTCAAATCAAGGCGTACAGCTAAAAGACCGACTGTTTTGAGCAGCTTGCTACAAATGCTATCGATCCCCATCACTTTAAGGAATATTTATTTTTTGACCCATTTTCGGATTTTTTATAAGGGGGTACATCGGTTTTTTTGGTGGGACTCAGATTTTGGTCAAAAATTCTCTTTTTTCGTGGTTTTTCAGTCGTAGTTTAGCCAAATCAAGGCGTACAGCTAAAAGACCGACTGTTTTGAGCAGCTTGCTACAAATGCTATCGATCCCCATCAGGAATATTTATTTTTTGACCCATTTATGTATGCAAATGCGAATATGCATTTTAAAGATGAATTTTTTTTTATTATTTAAATAAAATTCAATTGAACTTTCAACTCTATCAGATGACAAAAATGTCTTTTAATAATGCCGATAAAGAAAGAAAAATAAATTAATAACTCAATTAAAATTAATTTATACCGAATCGTCTCAAAACAACTAGGGATTAACATTCTTGTAGCTTCTGTATCTGTTGCATAATTCTTTTGAGTAAAGCCAACTCAATTTTAGTTCCAATAAGTATTTTGTTTTCACCCAGTTGTTCGACCTTCTTGGCCATCGTTTTTGTTGTTGTTGTTGTTGCGGTCGGTTTTCCTCAGGTGTTGTTGTAGTTTTCCCTTTACGGTCAAATGTTTTTGGCAGGCGACAGCAACGCAATTTGCATTTGTTTTCAGTGCGGCATGGAAGCCGAAAACTTTTGTCTGCCTTCAAAGTTTTTCGGCCTGCCAAACTGTCCCTCTTTTCCGCTTTTCCCCCTCCCCCTCTTCCTCCTGCCGGCGGGAAAATCATGGATGAGGAAAATTCAGGGGGAGGGGGGGTGTATGGTGGAAATCTTCACCTTTCAGCGCACGCTGCGTTTGCTTTCAATCAAGTTGGAATATTTCTAGGGGCTGCCACTTTCAAACAATGTTCCTGATGAACTGTCAATTACACACACGTATTTATGGATGGGGTCTTCGGGCTACAACCAAAACTAGAAGCCAAGGGGGGGGGGATAGGCAGGGAAAAGAATCGAAAAGCATTGAGTGACGACCAAGTTTCATAAAGATTTCAACACTAATAACAAATAATTAGCCGACTGTCCGAGAGATTCTGTCTTGCATACCACCCACACCCCAAACCATTTTCCGATTTTCCTCTTTTCCGTGTAAATGTCAAGGTCGTCATTCGGGCAAAACAACTCACAATTAGTCATAATATTTTGCTGTCGGCATCTCGGGATGTTCCTTCTCACATTTTCGGACAGCCACCCCGTAAAACCGAGAAAATAATCATGGCAACCAATAATAGATGCAGTTAAGTGGAATTGTTTTTATTGTTTAGTGTTTCATACCGAAAATAGAAGAAAACAAAACGTGTAGTGGGGTAGGATTTCTTAGATTTGTGCACAAGAAACAAATATTACTTAGACTAGGGAAATAAAAAGGAAAGAAATCGGTATGGTGATTTAAATCCCTATTGATGTACCCTAAAAGTATGCATTCAAAAACGAACGAACCCAATGGAATTATAATATATTGTTGCATACTTTGAAACACCGCTATAAAAGATTTAAATAAAAACAGGAGTTACTTTCTCAAACCCAGAAAATCCTAAAGATTCAATCGACTTTTGGACTGACAATATTTTTCCTTGAGTGCATCCGATTTACATCGAACTAAAGCTAATCCTTATCCTCAGGCTCATCGGATTCCCCTTTCCCGCCTGTCGATAACTTTAAGTCCTGGGTTTTAATTTATCCGCAAAACTGTGTCAGGTGTCGGCCCTCCGTCGATAAAGTTTTTGTCCAACCAACCATGCAAATTCCTTTTGAAATTCCATCCTGCGAAACTTAAATTCTTTGTTGGTTGCCATCAATTCCAAAAAGTGATTCAGACGAAAAGCAAAATAGAAACCAAATTGAAAACGGAGTTTAAATTAAAGGAACCACAGGGAGGAGGAGCTGGAATCCTTTTAATTGAGTTGCCACAAAAATCCTGCCTGGCTTAAGTTTTCGGGTTACGTTAGTTGGGTTCCGGATTCTGAGGTTATTGTGGCTTAGTTTCGGGTTAACATAGGTTAACTTGGGTTAACTGAGGTGTGGCAGTACTAAATGGGGTTACCGATAAGGTGGGTAGCAGTTTAATTTATTTTAGTTCATGGAGTGCTAACTGCAGTTGGATGTAGTCGTTTGGTTTAGATTAAATCGGCTTTGGAAGTAGCAACAAAGACAGGGTTTGAATGGAGAAGTGGCGGGAAGTAAAGAAAGATAAAATTTTGCTAGGTAGTTGTTGAACTTGTACATAATGTCTGCAAATATTTCTACTGATGTCTTTTATGGGTTACTCGAAGTGTTAAAATTGTATAGCTAAACTTGGAAGCAATGAAATTGTAAAAATAAATAGTTGAAACATTTTTTAAACCTAACAAATTAAAATTATTCTTACTGTCAAGCAAAATAAAGTCAAATAACCTATGGTCACCAAAGGTGTGATTAGCTAAACTCTGGTTATGTAAAGGTTATTTTTTAAAATAAATAAACCACTATTTAGATTAAAGATACAATTGTTCAACTTATTACTGTTTTTCTATACAAAATAACGTGAGTTCATCTCCAATGTCTCGATTAGCTAACTTCGGGTTATGTAAAGGTTAAATCCAAAGAAAATTAATAAACAATTATCAAGACTTAAGACTAAATTGATCAACTAATTCAACTAATTGGCCAACCAAAAGTTCCGCTAAACAAAATTAAAGTTAGATAACGTGAGTACGCGGCCAATGTTCCGATTAGCTGACCTCCGGTTATTTAAAGTTTTTTTCTAAAATAAATAAACAACTGTTTAGATTAAAGATAGAATTGTTCAACTTATTACTGTTTTTCTAAACAAAATAATGTGAGTTCATCTCAAATGTCTCGAATAGCTAACTTCTGGTTAAGTAAAGGTTAAATCCAAAGAAAATGAATAAACAATTATCAAGACCTAAACAAAATTGATCAACTAATTCAACTAATTGGCCAACCAAAAGTTCGGCTAAACAAAATTAAAGTTAGATAACGTGAGTACGCCGCCAATGTTCCGATTAGCTGACCTCCGGTTACGTAAAGGGCCTTTGCACTTTGCACAGCCCTTTTTCCTTTCGGCCCCCTTATTTTGTGCCCAATGACATTTGCACACAGAGTTTTGAATGCAGGAGACAAATGGACGGCAAAGTTGGCTGCCAAAAGGGGCGGGGTCGGAGGTCCTTTGGCCATGTGCTTAAATGTCAACACTTCAACTTCGACTTTTGTGCAGTCCATTCTCCATTTTGTTTGTCTGTCTGTTTGTTTGTTGTGACGTGGTGGAATGACGTCACGACGCTGAGTTTGCACTGATCTATGCGGCGGGGGTCATTGTCTGCGTCAGCGAATGTCGTCGGGGTTGCCGCCCCACATTTCCCAGCCCCCTTCACCCGCCCGGTTTTCGTCACACACCCATTTAACATTTGGTTGCACGTGACGCATCAATTGGACTGGCGGGAAAATACACGGAGAGAAAAGCACAGACATTGGCACAGAGTGGTATTTCATTCAAAAATTTATATAATTTATTTAAAAGGTATTTATTTTATTTATTTATTTTAGAATATCTATAACACTTTGAATAAAACATCTTTATATAAGGCAATTTAAAAAAAAATTACAAAAACTAATAATAATAATATGCCCATTACTTTTAAATTATTTTATTTGGTTTAAATTGATCTGAAAGTTACGAAAAACTTAAATATAACATTTAAACTTATGATCTATGTTTTTTAAAAATACTATAAAAGGTTTACATTTCATCTCAACTAAAATAATCCTTTAATAATGTTAAAGAAAATATGTAGGTACCTTTGAAATTATTTTATTGTATTTTTGTGTCAGTATTTTTTTGATTTGATTTTGAATTTTGGTTGTTGCTGTTTCTCAGCCCCTTACCCTAGCTACATTTGCCCACTAATTTCCCCTTATTTCCACCCTATTTCCACCGGCTTTCCCATATTTTCCCCTCTATTTCCTCCTCTATACCTAGTGAAATTTTTATATGATTGTTGTCTGTATTATCGTTGTTTATTAAGATTGTAACCCTTTTTCCAGGTTTAAAGAACAGGAAGCCTCTATACTCGTTGACCGATCGTACGTATGCCGAGAGATCTGATCTGCCTATATCGCTCTCTCTTTCTCTGTCTCTCTCTATCTATCTATCTATCTCTATCGTTATGTCTTGCCTGCCTTTGCATATTTGATGTTTGTATGTTTGTTGTCGTTGTCTTTTCGCCACTGTTATCCTGCATTTTGTGATTTGCATGCTGGTTTTCCTTCACTACCTGAACACTCGATAATTATAGAGAGATATTACACATTTTTAATTTGGGATTTTATAAGGGTAATTTGTCGCTGTTTTATCCACTCGTTGCACTCACATTTCATTGGTTTGCTATGGTCTTGGTCTTGAAATTTGTATTTAATTTTTTTGCATGTTTGATAGATTAAATCATTATATGTATTGGGTACCATAAATGGAATATTATACAACAGCGGTAACGTATGAAAAACATATATTAAGAAAGACCTAATGGTATAAACAACTTTTCAAGAATTTCGTTTTAAGTATTCTTATTTTTTTTCATAATCTAGTTTAGTTTATGTACATTATTTTAATAAGTTTATATTCATTTGTACAAAATATTATTTTTTTCATTTTGAAAAAGTAAGCATTAGGCTAAAATAGTATTGTTTCTACAAGTATACCATTTGTAAATATAAAAGTTAAAGAACTTTTATTAAAAATTATTTTTTGTTATTTCAAGATATACATTTATTTTAAAAATAAATCCGTAATAAATAAATATTTCCTGCCACATATTTGTATTTATTTTTTAATTATTAATAAATGTTTTCTGCCCACTTTAGACTTTGAAGTATGCGCTTCGGCTCTATTCTCTCCAAGAAAAAGCAAAAAATAAATTGTCTTTTGTGGGTTCAGCGAACTCTGAACTTTCCCTGTCTCGGGAAAATACGTCTTTCGAGTCATAACTGGCTCACATGTTGGTCATGTCCGTTGAGTCATTTCAATTTGTCTTCGGCAAGTCACGAGCTGCAGAGGAATTTCACACACATCGACCGAATGACGCTGACATCTGGGGTGTTTGTGAGTGCAGGCCAAGCTAATTTAAATATGAAAAACATTTCCTATTTCCTGTCCCCAAGTGCCAAGGCCCAAAAAATAGTATATAAAAATAAACAGAAAAATAACATATATACATATATAGGGAAAATAAATAAAATGGAATAATTGCTGACAGAAGTCAATCAAGGGGAACTCTCTCCCGAAAATCCCCCGTTGCGGTCGCAGTCTACTTGCCACATGCAGCGCCGTCGCACCGGGCGTATACGTAACGTAACGTAACGCGCGCGCGTCCGTTCCTCACATTATTCATACGCAGCGTGACACCCAAGAAGAAATGCTCGCTGCTGGCACACGAAACCAGACCAAAACCAAAGCGAAAAACCCATAAAATATGGCTCAAGATGAGGCAGCAGCAGAAGAGTAATGCTTCTGCCTCTGCCTTTGCTTCAACTAAATAAAATACATTTTTCCCGTGCATTAAATTTGCTCTGCAAGCAGCGTTTCAATTGCCTCGAAAAAAAATTGTTATATATATATATATATATATAGAAGAAAATAAACTGTGAGTGCCTGAATATGATTCGTGAGTGCTGTGAGTGCTCGTGATTGCGGGCACATAATTTTAGCTTTAATACACATATATGTAAGACCATATATATATAATATACACGTATATATATGGGGAAAATGCATTGCACATTGCAGATTTGTCATTCACACCCAGCGGTGAAAAAAAAATAGAAATTCCTTTTTATAGCACGTTGTGTGTGTGGCATGGAAATGGCAGGCTGGCTGGGGAAAACGGAAAATGGAAAATGGCTGTGCTGAGCCAAAAGTGAAATGCAAATTAAGTGCTTTAATATCGGCAGCTCGGAGTGCAGTCTTCCATGATATGGCCAAAACGAGAAAGGGACTAAAATAAAATATTTCCCCGATCGACAGTCTGTTTTGTTTAACCTCCACCGAGACCTATGAGAAGAGAAGCTTTTGGCATCCTTAAAATATGCAAACTACCCTAAAATATTTGATTTTTATATAAACAAAACTTTGAAAATAATTGAGAATATCAGAAAATATTTTTTTTATATTAACAAAATGTAATATATATTTATTTTCAAATTAAAAATGTGGAAAATTATATTTAAAAATATTTTAATCGTTTTTTTTTTAATTCTTATAATGGTTAATATAGAGCATTAAATATTTCGGTGTATTGCCAGAGCACCCCAAACACATCAAGACCGGCAAAAGCTGGTTTAAGTATTATACATTTTAATGGGCTTTTCAAACGGTTATTGTTATAGTTGACTAGTTCTCAAGGCAGCTTATTCTAAATGTGAAATGTGGCCAGCAACTGTTTGATTGCATAAATCCCATAAATCTCTGGCTGCAGTCAGATTAAGACTAATGCCCGCAGATATTCCCCCCATAGAGTGTTTATCCGAAATGCCTAGGCACTTGACTAGATTGAGCTTTTGTTTAGGAAAGCACTGGAAAAAATAAGAACTTAAATAAGGCAAAAATGCTTGCATCGAAAATATAGTTTTTAAAAGGCAAGAAATCCCTAATTAAATTAATATTATTTTGTATTAATAAACACCACATAATATAACTACTATTTTTGACAAGTGTATCGATTAGGAACCGTGAAAGCTTTGTAACGACCTGCAATCATTCGCTCAGTCAAGTCAATAAATGCAGAGCCATTTAAAATCTCATTTCGGCACACGCTGCGTATGAGTAATGTGGTCCATATTACCCAGTTAGCGACTTTTAAGTGCTGCGTGGGTAAAAATTAAAAAATTCGCTCGTCCCAAAATTTATAATTAGAATTCTTGTAATACTATTCTCTTTTTTTTTTATTCAAGAATTTCTCTGTACGCTCTCGTTTTCTTCATTCTATAACATTTTGCCTCTATCATGCGAAAGATATTAAAATAATTGCCGTATTTAAAAATTGTTGTTGTTGACGCTAATGAGCGTTAATCAAATGCCAACAGCTGCAGCAGCAGCAGCAGCAACAACAAGAATATTAATACTATTAATATTAACCAGCCATTGAAGGCAAAAACAAAAACAAAAATAAAAACAACAACAGAAAAAATGGAGAGGGGGAATTTATTAAACATTAGCGTAGGTAAGTGCGATGGGAAAAGCAAAAAGAGGGGAGCTCTGCAAATGAAAATTAAATTATTTGAGCGTCAGCTATCTCTTCTCATTCGGAATATTCATCATTGCGATGATCATCATGGTTGTAGTTGCGTTGCCGATGATAATGATGATGATGAAGTGCCAGGCAAGGACGTATTCCCCATATAGGGTGTTTTAAAAACTGAAAACTTTTTTAGGCCATTACCCTTTTTTTTAATTATTTATAAAGTAACATACATTTAAAATCCTATGTTACCTTAAAAATGGCAAATACAAATGGTATATTTATGAATCAAAAAATATTATAAAGGTATTTAAAATGTATACATATAATAATAAAATCCTTTCATTTTAAACATGATTTATGAGTTTGTTACATTTTATTTAGAAGTCCATATAGGTTTTTTAACTATGTGGACTTAAGGTCCATTAGTGATTTATTTTTGATATTATTAAACGACTTAAAAATATTCCTAAAATTTCTTACTATTTATTAGATATACTGGATAGATATACACCCTGTATTCAAATAATTAAATTTAAATAAGATTTTTGAGTTTGTTACATTTTATTTAGTATTCCATCTAGGTTTTTAGTAAATATTTTCGGTAGAAATAAATGCTAGACGATATTTTCAACTTTAAAAGTAAAAATGAGTTATTATTTATTAGATAACAATATATGATGTAAGCACCCTGTATGCCAATAGTTGAATTTAAATAAGATATATGAGTTTGTTACATTTTATTTAGTATTCCATCTAGGTTTTTAGTAAATATAGGGATCTAAGAACGCTTTATTGGACTTTTCGGTAGAAATAAATGCTAAACGATATTCTACACTTTTAAAGTATAAACTAGGTTTTATTTCTTAGATAATAACATATGATATAAACACCCTGTATGCCAATAATTGAGCAAATGCTGTTTGCCTGATGAAGATGAAAAGCAAGCTGAAATCTTACGCGAAATGAAAATACAAAATACAAAATACAAAATACAAGCTCTCACGAGCGACGAGTAGGAATGAATACTTTTTCATTTTTTCATTTTTAAGTTGAATATAATTTGTGCGCTCTGCTCTCGCGAGACTCGTCTACTATAATTTTTCTTTTTCGTGTGTTTGGCCCCTGTGTTTTCTGTTTTCTGTATTTTTCTGCCGCGGGACGCGCTTCATTCTCGTTTAGCGGTTGCTCGTGGAAATTTCGAAAAAATCTCAAACAAGCCGCGGAAATCTCGAAAAAACCGCAGCGACGAAAGGAAAACAGCAAACCGATTGCTTCAATCACAGACAGATTAAATAAACAGGCGACTCAAAAGACTTTTATCGAGCGAAGGAAAAAGAACTTCCAACTAGTGGGCCCAAGTGGGCCAAAAGTGATTGTTAATTCTGTTTAATTTATAAACAGTGTGTATTTTTTTTTTGTTGTTGTTAACTTGTAATCTGTGCATAAATCCAGCAAAATGCTTAACAAAAACTCAGCAGGATCGCAATCGCTGCCGCGAGTGCACAGTTTCTTCAATATGATACCCTCTATAATGCAAGACGATCTGGCGGTAACCATTCTAAACGATCGGGACAACATGTTTTCCATTAAGTCGCAGCGCAGGTATACATATCCAAAGGAATATATTATGGTCCCTGATCACAGGGCCATTTATGGCCACCTCTCAAAATAGTTCGCCTCCTCTGCAGATATACATCGCTATAGACATGATACGTATATATCGAAAATACGGCAAATAACTAAATACACATATTTATATTCCGATTTTAATGACATCCAACAAGCCGCGTGTGTCTATATATGCCTCCATTAATTATGATCTATGGTTTGCGTTTATTTCTACCGCATATTTCTATGCCAATATATTGGCTGGGCCTAAGTTTTCCATATATACCATATACCATTTGTATCTGCTGTATTTATTATAAATTTTAATTGAAATTTTATTGAGTTATTTTGCATAAGAGATTTATTGCCAATGTACTGCGGGAATTCCCCATCGATTCTGTGAAAAAGAACCTCTAGCAAAAAAAACATTTCATTCCACTTTAAATGTCATTACCTTTCAAAAGTATTGTCACCCGAATTCCCAGAAATTCTATTTAGTTTTTCGGCGAATGTGCCACATTTTTTAGGCTTAAAAATATGATTGTTTTATTGGGAAATTGAGTTTAAAGAGTAGTCCCATTTAAGAGAAAATTCTATACATTTGTCATTGGGCTTTTAGTGGATGTCAAAGTGAACAAATATTTATTAGAATTGTGAAATGAGGTGTGGATGTCAGTGAACAAATTTTTATTAGAATTGTGAAATGTGGTGTCCAATTTTAGAGAATTGGTCCTTGTTCATTATTCTGTTTTTAATAGGGATTTTCTTTGTTAAATAATATTAGTAAAATGGGCTAATCACTCCTTTATAATCACTTCTTTATAATCACTCCTTAATAATTACTTCTTTATAATCACTTCTTTATTCCCCTATTTATAATCACTTCTATACTAAAATTAAATTTAATAGTTTCTTATTTTAAATGGCGCCTGAAAGTCATATAGTTCTTAATCAGCTTATGAGACTCTTCTCAATTAAAAATGTTTTCTAAATTGGTTTACCTCCCTATTGTCACTCTATATTTAATTTTTTTTATTTACCTACTATACTTTTGATGAGTCACGCTGTGTTTTCAACTAAAGAGGCGACGCCTTGTCAATTGGGGGCGTGTTGAAAATGCGTCGCAATATTAATAAACCAAAATAGCAGGGGAGATGGCACAAAAATAATAATAAATATTCTGGGGTGGACGTACTAAAATTTCTTTAAACGAAATGACAAATCAGTGTCAACAAAAAAATTAAAAATCAAGAAGAGAGTTTTTCCTTCGAGTACAAAGGCCAGACGAAGCCATTTGTTTTTGGGACAATGATTGGTTTTCCCGCCATTTTCCAGAATCATTTGCGTTTAACGATGGATAATGTCTGGCACGATTTTTCAGACCGATTTCCATGCTATATGCTATATATGCTACGTGCCAAAAGTCAGGCAGGCCAAACAGAAGTGTGTTAAGAAAATAGCGCGAGACAGCCGATGAGGGAAGTGAGAAAAGTGGCCAGAAATGTGAATTCAAGCCGCAAAAACAAAAAAGAATGAAATGAAAGCACGGAGCCTGTAAATAAGCCTTTTGTTGTGTTTTTATTTTTTTGATTATGGCCCCAAAGGAGGTCAGTTTTACATTCTTCGAGATCCCACTCAATGGCATTTTTCATGCTCATATTTTTCGATTTTCATTGTCTGGCCATTTGGCTAAAATTATTGTTCAAAATATTGAGTAAAAGGTAATCCGTAATTGGTTACATATTTTAGTTTAGATAGTAATTTAAGAACCTATGATCAGCCACACAAATTAAAACAGTAAAAACTGTAGTTTATATATTAAATTAGTGACGAAAACAACGCAAAAATCTAGTTAATGAAATTTGGCTAAAAAGATTGTTTAAAACATTCAGTAAAACCTCAACAGAACATCGTTTATTTTATTTTATTTGAATAATTATACAAAAAACATATAATCAACCACAATAAATACAGTAAATACTATAGTAAACTAGTGACGAAAGCAACTCAAAATCTTTAAAAGATACGGGGAATAAATCTAGTAACTGGAATTAGACTAACAATATTGTTCAAAACGTTCAATAAAATGTCAACAGAAAATTGTTACATTTGTTGGTTTAGATAGTTATTAAAGAAATATAAAAAAACACACAAATTAAAACAGTAAATACAGTAGTTAATATATTTAAATAGTGACGAAAAAAACTTAAAACCTTTAAAATATATGCAAATTAAATCTAGTAAATAAAACTTAGCTAACAATGTTGTTTAAAACATTCAGTAAAATGTAAACCGAAAGTAGTTACATTTTTTTGTTTATGTAGTAACTCAACTCAAAACCTTTCTAATATATGAAAAAATATCTACAAATATTTTCTAAAAATATTTTCAACTTTTTAAAAGGAATTTTGATTTTTAAATTATTCTCCAGAAATTATACTAAACTAAACTTATATTTTTACGGCTGTTTGTTATTTGACCCCTAATTTTTTTAAATTAAGCCGATAAGTAAACTTCAATTAAAAAAGAATACATATTTATAAACGTATTTACTGCAAACAGTTTTTAAATATAATATTATTTAGTCGAACCCGTAGTTTCTTCTCTCAATTAATTTTAATTTTATTTCTTTGGCGCCATTCCACGTTTCTGCGTTTAATTTGTCTCCCAATTTGTGACGTCACCGACGTGAACGCCCCCACATCTTTATCTCTATATACCTATATATACAACTGTCTATATGTATTTAGCGTTTTATTTTTTATTATTATTAATTTATGCCATTTTTTGTTTGTCAACGTTTTTCGTTTCTCCTCTTTTTGTTGGCCATTTCGATTTTCGCTTTTCTTTAATTTTCGGGTTCCTTTTGTTTTATTTTTGGCGCACAGCGAAAATTCTGAGCCAAGTGGCTAAGGAGAAAAGTCCGGCCCATGTGCCACGCCCCCGCCCCCGATGTCCTACCATTGCGATTTCCTTCTGAATGTTTTCCACAATTTCTGTGGAATTTTCAACTGCCCAAAAAAACAGAAGCGGAGGATAAAAACCAAAACTTGGCCGTCGCCATGGCGTCCTTTTTTTACTTGTCTTCGTTTTTTCCCCTTTTATTTGAGTACATTCACTGACCTTTTTGGAGCAACGTTTCCAATTTCCACAACATTTTGCCATTTAAATTCTACTCAAAATGAATGCCACACAAATTAAATAGTTTCGACAAAATACAGAAAAAAAAGAAAAACAAATTAAATAAATTAGCAAATATTTCGTTTAAAATTCTTGGTGTTTATTTATGGTCTTGTTTTCGCTGTTTTTGGCAATGCATCAAAGAACCTCCGAAACTTGTACGATGTAAGAGGATTTGGTTGGCCGACTTTTATAGATTTCCAAACACACTTTGCGATTATTATGGGAAATTGCACACTAATGGGGAAAACATTAGTAGTTAATCAAAAGGTGTTTATTGTGCGCTCGAAAATGGGATTTAAAATTAATGTAAAAAGAATTAATGAAGGGCTATAAAGCACAACGTATTGTACCAAAGTCTATAGGATATATGATTAAAAATATTAACAATTTTACCATTTTTACAAGTATGCACATAAATATAATATGTATTTTTATTTATACGGAACATGTTAGGATTTTAATTTTTAATAATTTCTATTTTAAATGTAAAAACACCCCTTTAAAAATTATGCAAAAAATCACAGAGCACTATTTAGTAATCTAGTTTCATTTATAAAGGGTAACATATTTGTAGTATTTTGCATGTTTCATACACGGCTTTTCTACTCTTTGTTTTCGCTTAAAACGAGGAATATTTTAACTGGATATAAATTGAAATTTTTACTAACGCTTTTCTATGTTTTCCCTTTTTTACCTTTTTTTCAGCCATGGCGAGGATCTCATTGTGACGCCTTTCGCCCAAATTTTAGCCAGCTTACGTTCAGTGCGCAACAATTTATTAAGTCTGACAAATGTTCCAGCATCAAACAAGTAAGTGTATTGTGACCTTAACAAGGCCCCCCCACCCCCCGTTAGCCACTTTAACCCCCTTCTTAACTCTTAACCACCACCCCCCTTAACCTTCCGGAGGCATTCAATTTGTTGTGTACTATATATATACAATGTACTTGACCCCGAAAAAAAAATATGAAATCTCACTCTGTTTTAACCCCCCTTAACCCCTATGTGTGCTGCTGCCTGCTCTCTGCTCGCCTTAACCTACTCACTCTCTCTCTGGTCTTGGTGTGTGTGTGTTTTTTTTTTGTCGTCTCACACTTTAATTAATCAAAAGCAGCGACCACAATGACAACAAACAAAATCACACTCTCATCTAACAATAACTTTTGATGGTCGGTCGGTCCATGAAAATATACTTCTATATATATATGTGTATGTATAAGAATAAAAATAGATATGGATATGGATGGAAAGTATAAATAAAACCCTACGAAAGGTTGAAGGTACACAACGCCGACCACTCAGCCCACGTTTAACACCCGTACATTCGCAATAATGACGCCAAAAATGTGCCAAAAATACAACAAGTATATCGCCGAAACAACTGGGACAGAAGAAGAATTTTATACGATTTGTTTCCCAGGAATATATCCATGGCGCACAACTTAAATTTAGCGAACATTTCTGTTGAGCTACAAAATGAAAAGTTGATTTTCTTAAGAACAATTGCAAATTGGTTTGTTCAACCGGGAAATTGTTGTCTTGTCGATTGCTGCTCGCTGTTGGTTGTTTTTGTAATGTGATTAACCACTAATTACTAGATGATTTAACCTATTTTCCTTGGGTTTTGACTAATATTTTAAGTATCAAGGCAAAGGTTACTGATTTTGATACATTTGGAAATTGTTTCTACTTAAAAAAAATCCAAATTAATCACAAACACAAATAATTAAATTACAAATGTATTTTTAAAGACAAAATAACATCTAAAATCTAAAACCTTGCTAACATTTTAAGATTAAGTATTTATTTGTACCCCTTGAGAAAATGGGTTAAACCACGTAACACCTAACCTTAACCCCCTGCAGGCCCCCAGAAAGGCAACCCGACCCCTGAAATGCAGTGATTGCTGTAAATAGAAAGTTTAACCCCCCGTGCCCCGAAAAATTACGAAAATTCACAAATATAAATATTTTTTCTCTCTTTCTTCCGCTCTCTCTCGCTCTCTCTCTCTAACTCTCTCTCTCATTTAACCATTTTGCATATGTGTCTATGTGTGTCACCGATACTTTTGCAAAACCACAAATCTAAATGTTGTGTTCTCTCTTCACCACACCCACACCATGCTACCGTCTTATACCGTGTTCCATATTCCATGTTCCATACTCCCCACTTCCCATTTTTATTTGAAATATTAATTTTTGAATTTGATCACCTTCATTTCCATATTTGCTTACCATGCTCCCTTAAATGTTTGTTCGATTGTTTGCTGATTCGTTTGTTTGTTTGATGATTTTGTTTGTTGTATTTGCACTTTAAACCCCCACCCATTACCCCCCTCCCCCTCCCATAATCTCTGTGTATGCGTGTGTGTGTGTGGGGAAACTGTGTATTAATCCATCAAGATCCAGGCGGCCCAACCAATCCTCGTCGGCCTCCCGATCGGGAAATCCCTCGGGAGCACCACTGTCCCAGGGCGAGGAGGCCTACACCCGCCTGGCCACCGACACCATCGAGGAGCTGGACTGGTGCCTCGACCAGCTGGAGACCATCCAGACCCATCGCAGCGTCTCCGACATGGCCTCGCTCAAGGTAGGCTATACAATCCAATTTTCCCTAACTCGAACTGGGGCAAATCTTATGTATAAGGCATATTCACGGATGTTTAAAAAAATATCGATAAATACGTATATCGATTATATGTTAATACATCTGTTTTATAGGATCCCTAGCTCAAACTCCGAGTAAATACCAAAAACGTTGCATAAAATCTCTAGTTATTTCGAATTAGAGATGATAAAAAAAGATATCGATATACAAAGTTCGATTACATCGATTTTATAAAAATACAACACTTTTTGATTGTTATATATAGCATATATGTTTTAAACAAGAGAATATGTCTAAATATATTAATATTCAAAGTTCGATTATATGTATGTTTTTTAAATATAACACTTTTCGATTGTTGTATATTAAAGTCAAGATTATCATAATACGAAAAAATTTCAATGATGTCCCCAGATAGGGGGTAAAAAGGTCAGCGGTAAGACATATAGTTTAAATCAACTAGAAATTTACAAAAGTATATCTAAGTACTATTAGCCATAGAAATAAATATTTTAGAATTATTTATTTAGAGTCCCCATGTTCGAGTAAAGGAAAATATTATTCAAATTCATATCTTAAATTCCCCAATTTTGCCCACTTTCAGTTCAAACGCATGCTCAACAAGGAGCTGTCACACTTCAGCGAGTCCAGCAGATCAGGAAATCAGATTTCCGAGTACATTTGTTCCACATTTTTGGGTGAGTTTCGATGCATAAATATTGAGCTATTGAATATAATTTAAGAAAACTGAAACAATCAATTCACATTTCGACAAAAAACCAATAGAATCTAAATGACTTATTAGAAAAAATTGAACAGTGCTTTGTTTTGTGGAAACAAATCAAATTAGCATACTTTATTCTTGAATTCGGAAAACACTTTCTCAACCGTTTCGCATCAAGGGTCTTTATGTACCAATTCCCAATACCCCAATCGATCCATCTAGAGATGGGAACTCATTTTCCACCCAAGATGGATGGCAAACTTTTTTGCAAAACAATTGCTCAACAATCCCAACACTCGAATCATTTCCTCTGGATTTCCAATTGTATTTACCCCTTATTTGCGATTCCGCCTCGTCATCTATGCCAGAAACTATGACTTAACCCCACAAAGCCCCCCTCCAAAGTTATTCAAGATGCTTTGCGGAATTCAACTTTAGCTGGCTGCAATTTGTTTCAGGCTGCTCCTCCAGCTACTTGCTTTTGTTTTTCTTTTTTTTTTGTATTTTTTTTGTAGTTTTTCTAGCCGCTTTGCTCAGCAAAGTATGCAATAAAATCGCATTAACCACAGCGGCGGGAAAAGGCGAAAGAATAGAGTTCAAGTAGCTGAAGCCAGCAGCCATCCATCTCCATCTCCATGGCCAACAAATTAGGGCGAAAAAATGCCAGCAAAAGTTATGCAAATCATGGATTTGAACCGCTCAAGAAAAGGTCGAAAGAACTATACCCTGAAACCAGGAGAACATTTTAAAACTTTACATAAATATATTTTAAAATGTATTTTTTTTTTATTTGATAATAAAACATTTTAAGGGGAATGTATAAATCCAGTCCTTAGTAAACAATTCCATCAATCCATTAAAGATAGGGAATAATATTGGGAAATTGGTTGAAGAAAACAAGTCGATGTCGCCGTTTCTTTCAATTTCCCCCCTTTTTTTTTCTTGAATTGAAAGTGCAAAATTAAATTATGCAGAGCAGCATAAAAACAGATGAAGTGGAAATTTCATTGTTTAACCTGCGAGCCAAGCCCCCAAAGCGAAGACCTCTGCACGCCCACAGTCGTCGAGGTCCCCCATTTTCCCCAAAAAGTTTTCCCCTCCCCCCGGCCTGCGCACTTTCCCCCTGCCACTTTCCACTTTCCCACTTTTGTTCAGACCAAAGCCACTTTTGTGGCACTTTGTGCGGGAACGGGAATTATTTCGAGGGTTAAAAAGTGACTGCACGGCTAAAAATAATCATTAAAAATAGTGCACTAGATAGTTTTTCATTGATTATAGTTAATAAGAACAAAAGGGTAAAATTTTATATTTGCAAAAAAATTAAATATTTAATTTACAAGTTAATGCAAAACTACTACTTTTTGTTAAATAATTATAACATTATAAATTATAATATTAATATTTATACTTTGTCATAAAGAAGGTATAACTTTTTTGTGACCGAAAATTTTATTAAAATAAGAAATTTAAAAAAAACATATTTTGAGTTGAAAAAGGTGTTTTTGAAATGCTCTTAAAATATTTAGCGGTGTATTTGTGTCTCGTGCCATAGATTTAATGTGATTTCAGAGAAGTAAAGAGATTTCTGATGGTTATCCTATTTTTTCTGTGCAAACTGGGCGATGGGCGTGGCCAAACAAAGGGGCCGCACCTAGTCAAAAAAAAAACAAAAAATACCAAAAAAAAGAGTTGAAAGCGCAGAAAAAATACAGAGAGGCAGAGGGAGCGAAAGGATATCGGGCATATTTGCACATTTGTCCATATTTCTGCTTCACTGGGCACGCAGTGAAAGAGGGGGTCCTATAGAGGACGAACCGATTCGGGGGGTTAAAGTGACCTTCTCGGGATCTGAGGCTACCTTTTCTCTAGAATTTTCAGGCCTAACCCAACTAACTTGTTGTTGCTGTAGTTTATCAAGCATAAAATCGCATTTGGGGGATACACACGGCAGAAAAAATACCCCCCACACACACGACTGCCTAATGTCCATTTGTAACACTTCATTTGAAACACAAGCCTCGACCTCGAAAGTCAAAAAAAAAAGAAAGGTATAGGGGGAAAAAAGGGAGCCGAAAAATTATGGTGGGGAAAAACAGATTTCAACACCTGAAAATCGCCCTAGGAAACGGAGAAAATAGCAAAGGGAATCCGAAGAGAAGGTGGAGAAAGCATATGCAAAACAAGATCCCCTTGAAAGAGATTTCAGTCCCTCGCTAAAAAAAAAGTGTCGTGAAAAAGGGAAAAACAAAAAGAAAAGCATGGCCGACGGGCAAAAAAAAAGTATTAAGAATTTTTGGGAGCATATTTATGCGTTGTCAAGCGCTGAAAGAGTAGGCAAAAAAAAGAAGGGAAAATTAAAAGGAAAATCCAGCTTTAAAACCTTGCTTAATCCACAAATGTCCTTGTGCAACAGTTGAAAATTACTACCATTAAAAAGACAAAATCCTGTCACTTTTGAGGAATATGCCATAGGCATATAGTATGTTGGCAAATAAACCCAACATATTGCCTCTAAAAACAACAAGAGGAAACCCAACCTTTTTCCATCGCCTGGTTATTTATGTTTCATGTGTAGTTTTAAGTTTTTACCGGCAAACGAAAATTCAACGCAATTTGGAATTTGAAATGAATATTAATTTATGCACAGGCAATTTGAATTTGCTCTTCATGCCGAAAACAACGACAAACAAACAATTGTGGGTGTGTGTGAATGTGAGTGTGGAAAGGGGTCTACAAAGGGTTAAGGTTTAAGGGTGGCGGCCCCAAAAAGTAGGCAATGGAATTTTGAATGGGAAACTGCAAAAGTTTTGCTTGTTTGCCGTCGAACGCTTGAATATTTATATGGCTGTTTAAGCACCGAGTAAGAAGGCCCTGAGAAATGCGAGTTGAAGGACTTGGGTCGCTGCCCCACATCTCTGCATCCCTTGGCCCACATTTCCCGCCTGCCATTCAGATTGGTATATAGCCATAGCCATAGCTATAGATATAGATAGAGATACTGCCGGGGGTGATGTTCCCTGGCCCATGTGTGTTTGTGGCAGGCGATGATGTGCTTTATGCCTGTTTGTCTTGGCTTACTGAGGCACAATGCAGCTGGTATATTATTTTAGTGGGTTTTTTAAATTAAATGGTATTTTCTGGGGCTTAAAACATGCTATTTTTTATATTCAAGGAAGCAAAAAAAAGTCTACTTAAAAATAATGTAGTATATCCAATGACTTTATATTACATTTAAATATTTTTGGCTTTGCTTTGCATTCATTGCAGTTTTTATTAACTTGGCATTCATTTTTGCGGTGTTTCCCTTATAAAAAAAATCCTAAAATGAGCAAAATATAAATATATCTTAAAACAGTTGCTCTACGATTAAAAAACCGCTAAAAACAAAGAGTATTTTTGAAAAAAAAAGTAAAATGAACTTCTTACATGGCTAAATTTCAACGAAGTTGTAATAAGGAAGTACTTAAAGTTCAAATTTAAAACATATCTGTATGTTTTCTATTTTTAAATTATTTATTTAAAATTAAAAATCTAGTAAATTATAAAATTTGGTTACACTTATTAAATCTTTCATTCTTTTTTTCCACAGACAAGCAGCAGGAGTTCGACTTGCCGTCGCTGCGCGTGGAGGATAATCCGGAGCTGGTGGCCGCCAATGCCGCCGCCGGCCAGCAGTCCGCCGGCCAGTACGCCCGCTCCCGCTCCCCCCGCGGCCCGCCCATGTCGCAGATCAGCGGCGTGAAGCGGCCCCTTTCGCACACCAACAGCTTCACCGGCGAACGGCTGCCCACCTTCGGTGTGGAGACGCCCAGGGAGAACGAGCTGGGCACCCTGCTCGGCGAGCTGGACACCTGGGGCATCCAGATATTCAGCATCGGCGAGTTCAGCGTCAACCGGCCACTCACCTGTGTGGCATACACCATATTTCAGGTGGGTGAAAGCGGGCTAAATGGAAGTAAATCCATTTAAGAAGGTTAAGTCAGTTGGTCTGTAGGTTCTACTAGATAGGCTGAATTTAGGACAACATTTACCAAATTGTGCTTTCAAACTTTTAACAAATGTTTATTTTGATTCCTTAACAGCCCTCATATTTTATTTTCTTTTTGAATTTACAAAAATTTAAAGACTATTAAAATAGGTTTTGTTATGTTCTTTGAAAAGTTTTTTATAAATATAATATCTTTTACAAAGATCCTATTTTGTTTTTAATGTTCTTTAAAAAAACCGTTTGTTTATTGTTAAGTTTGAACAAATTCAACAAATAATTAAAAGATATTCGAATAGTTTTATTGTATAGTTTTAAAAAATATTTATGATATATTTTTTGAAACTTTTATGACCTATCATTTTCAGAAATATGATTTTGGATTAGAAATAAAAAAAAAATATGACTTTATTTAGTAAAAAAAAAAACTTCATATAGATATACCATATCTATATATCGATTAACCTAGATAGATATTAGTGTTTAATCTATAAATAATATTTGACTAATTTTTCCCCCCATTCTTGTTTCACCCCCAACAGAGTAGAGAATTACTGACCAGTCTTATGATACCACCGAAAACTTTTCTTAACTTTATGACTACTCTGGAGGACCACTACGTCAAAGACAATCCGTTTCACAATTCGCTGCATGCCGCCGACGTGACCCAGAGCACCAATGTGCTACTCAATACACCGGCGCTGGAGGGCGTCTTCACACCGCTCGAGGTGGGCGGGGCTCTGTTCGCCGCTTGCATCCACGATGTTGATCATCCCGGCTTAACCAATCAGTTCTTGGTTAACTCAAGTGGGTTTCCCTTCATTTATATAAAAAAACTCCCATACTTATTATTGAAAATATCGATCGATTATCCCGCAGGTTCCGAACTAGCATTAATGTACAATGACGAATCTGTTTTGGAAAATCATCATTTAGCTGTTGCCTTTAAATTATTGCAAAATCAAGGATGTGATATATTCTGTAATATGCAAAAGTGAGTATTTGGGAATAAGTTGGTTTAGAAGTAGTAGAGATAGTTGTGGTTTTAATAATAATGTATTTAAGCTACAATAAATTGCATTATTACTAAGGGCTTATAAATCCTTTCATTAGTATATTTTAGTATATTTATTTAGTATAGTATTTTATTTAATATATTAGTATATTTAATGCAACTTGGTGTAAATCGTAAAAGCTCCTGTTCAATTATAATATATACTAAAATGTAAAATGTAAATGCTAATTATTCAACTTCATTTTTACCAAGCCTTTCAAATGTTTTGCTTAGTATTTTTTACTGTTTAATTTGAAGTATATACTAAAATATTAAATCATTTAGATCTAATATAATCAATAATTTTCTTTATTACAAAGACTTTCAAATACCTATTTTAATATTTTATGTAATATAATTTGGATTTTTTGCAGAAAATCCTTAAATTACCTATTTAGTCTAGTTTAGTTTATAATATGTGCCAAAATGTAGTATCTTAATACTAATAACCATGTATTTCTTGCCAGGAAACAACGCCAAACATTGAGGAAAATGGTTATTGATATTGTGCTGTCCACGGACATGTCCAAGCACATGAGTCTGCTGGCCGACCTGAAGACAATGGTGGAAACCAAGAAGGTGGCCGGCTCCGGCGTCCTGCTGCTGGACAACTACACCGATCGCATACAGGTAAGAGGATCCCCCTTAAAATATTATATAGAATAACAACTAATACCCGATCCTTTCAGGTGCTCGAGAATCTGGTGCACTGCGCCGATCTGAGCAATCCCACCAAGCCGCTGCCGCTTTACAAGCGCTGGGTGGCCCTGCTCATGGAGGAGTTCTTCCTGCAGGGCGACAAGGAGCGCGAATCGGGCATGGACATCAGTCCCATGTGCGATCGCCACAACGCCACCATCGAGAAGTCGCAGGTGGGCTTCATCGACTACATCGTCCACCCACTGTGGGAGACCTGGGCGGACCTGGTGCACCCGGATGCCCAGGACATACTCGACACGCTTGAAGAGAACAGAGACTACTACCAGAGCATGATACCGCCCTCGCCGCCGCCGTCGGGGGTCGATGAGAATCCGCAGGAGGACAGGATACGCTTTCAAGTGAGCCGCCCCCGAGTAACAAAGAAATCCATTGCTGACATGGGGAATACATATCTGATTAATGTAATCGAATGCCAAAGAAATCTATAGAAAACCCTTAATAACCTAGCATTCTTTTGAATTACTTTAAACCACGATATGTTATAGAATTGTTTTTTTACAATGAAAGTAAAGTACAAGTTATAACCATTATAAAGCATTAAAACATATCTTTAGAATTTTTTTAAGAGTATGTAATCTTCTTTATAAGAAATTGTTTTGATTTCATTTTGAAAATGCTTCAAAATTCATATATGTAGATATTTTTAATCAATTTATTTTATCAGTAATTAATAGAACCTTTATAAAAAAGGTACTTACGATCGTTTCGATTATTTGATTTTATCACTAATCACTAGATGCCGTATGTGACTAGTTCTCATGTAAAATATAGAATTAAATCATGTTAACAGTATTAAATATATAAGAACGATAGTTTATGAGATGTTGATTGATTTCTATAGCCTCTTAGTAATTTTCCACTTCATTTAAGCCATGTCAGTTGTGATTTCCAGCCCTAAATGAATGATGTACCCCTACTAACTCTGTTATATTTATTAAACAGGTAACCCTGGAGGAGTCCGACCAGGAGAACCTCGCCGAACTGGAGGAGGGCGACGAGAGTGGCGGCGAGAGCACCACCACCGGCACCACCGGAACCACCGCCGCCTCCGCGCTGGGCGGGGCTGGGGGCGGTGGCGGTGCCGGCGGGGGCGTGGCACCCAGGACGGGTGGCTGCCAAAACCAACAGCAACACGGTGGAATGTGACGGAGAGTCGTGGGAATTTATCGCAAATTACAGGAAAAGGCTCACAACTTTTTCCTATTACGTTAGTGACTACTATTAACACACAAAAACCAAACAAAAACCAAAAACGAAAAACTACAAAAAAAAAAACAAAGAAAAACTCTTGGAAAAAATTAAAAAAAAAAAATACAAAAAAAAACCAAAAGCCAACTAAGGAAATATTAAACAAATGTTTAAAGCATACAAAAAATCCAAACAGCAATAGCAAAAGTACCGTTTAACTTATAAAGCCTAGAGAAAAACGAAAAAGGAAATTAGAACTTACTTAATGGAACACCGAGATTGATGTTGAAAATACACTGAAAAAAGAGCATGAGGAGAAGAGCTAACTAAGAGAAATCTTACATATTGTTAAAAACACAAACACACACACTAAATCCAAGACAAAGCAAAAGTAATGAGAAAACCAATTGATAAGTAATACTAAGAAGATACCCAAACTCCCGCCCTAAGTCCCCAAAAAAGTAATATCCCCCACTATATATAGACGATTTTTGTTGCATGCGTAGGCAAATGATTTTTGTTAAATTCATCTGAAGAAGGACATCATCAATCGGAGGAAAAGCCCCCAACCAATTACCCTCTTTTAAACCATTGACTAAAGTGAAATATTAAAAAAAAACAACCAACCAAACGGAAAGAAATAATTAATACGACTTAGCTTAAGAGAAGTTTTTAAGTTTTGAATGTTTTGCATGCCCCGAACAGATTCATTTTACTCGATTGATTACGTTAGATCTAACTTATAACCGATAAACGATAACAGCAACACATATGGAGTTTTTTATGATTTAGACCCCAGCGATAGAAGCGAAAACAAAACAAACAACCATGTTAAGTGTAAGAACCCAGTGAATTAAACCAAAATTGAAAGCCACCCGAGTTAAAACCATTTAATTAAAAATCTAAATCTAAATCCCAAACCCCCAAAAAGAACAGTCTACAGCCAGACTGTAGTTGTATAGTAATATATATGATATAAATATTTTTTTTTTAATATTATTTGTAAATAATTTAAATGTTGGACTCGAATTTAAATCAAGCGGCTAGCAAATGTTGCAGCTAAACTAAAACTAAAATGAAAACAAAGCCAAAAACACACATAAATACGAAAGTAAGTGGAGAGATGGGAGGAAAGGAAAAACTATTGTACAATTAGCTAAAGAATTTCCATTTCAATTTTCAATTTGAATTGCGATTTGATTTGCTTCCAGAAAAAAGAAAAGGAGAAAGAGAAGAAGGAGAAGAAGGAGAAGGAGAAAGGGAGAAGAAAATAGAGAGAGATGAACCGAAAATAATGTCAAACGCTGTCTTCGCAAATATTTTTCGCTATATATTACTTATATCATTATTTACTAGTTACTAAGCTACTTACTGAGCCACACAATTTCAAAATGAAAGAGACAAGACACTCGGACGAGAAAGAGAGGGAGCATTAATGAATTTAGTGAACAAACTTAACTGGCAGAAAGCGAAAGCACACAATTTACAAATCACAAACCACCAGAAAAGACTCTTCAAGCACAAGCAATTTTTAGTTTTCCAAATGCAAAACCAAAGCAAAGCAACACACAAAAAAAAAACACACAAGATATAAACCGAAAAAGTCATTGGCTATAATACGATTATTTATACCTAACCTATACAGATACATATATAGATATACACTATATGCATATGTAAAGTCACGATACTGGCGCTGGTGCGCGGATCGATCAATGTGGCAGGCCAAATTATAAACGCGCATAATTTAACTATTGTTTAATATTATGTTTTATTGTTATTAATTTATTACCCAAAAACATTATTTTTTCAGACCTAGTGCTATACATTTCTTTTTGTGTTTAAGCGGGCAGGATCCGCGCATAAAATAGTGTTTTTTTTTATAACAAATATATATATATATATATGATATGATATATGATATGTGAATGAAATGTAATGAAATGAAATGGAACCTTGATGGTCTAAAAATATCATTAAAAAACAAATACGAGATGCAAAGTTGAAGAACAAGATACTTTATAGCAATTTAAGCAGCATTGTAAATGTGCGCTTCAGAATTACTTTTTTCGAAACTTAATCAACCTTCAGCAAGTACAGCCAGATATATTACCTACATACATATATTATTAATTAAACCATAGTTGCGACAAAAACAAAAATGACGGCAAGTCCATGGCAAACTTAAACAAAAACAAAAAAACCAAAAGCTACTTTAACAAATTGAGTGAAATAAATAAAAGAAAGAAACAAAAAAAAGCAAACAAAACCAAATGACTTTTTTCTCCTCTCAGAAAAAAAAAACAAACAAACAAACTGAAGAAAATGAACTACTATATATTGTATTTGTAACAAGAATTTCCCTGCGAGTGAAGTCTTTTCGTAGAACCATAGAGCCCGAATGAAAAACCCTAGAGAGATTCCCCAACAGAGAGATACTGGTACTACACATATGTAAACTACCAGAGTATTAACCGAACATTTAAATTTATATGCATATGCATAGCAACATATATAGATATATACTAGGCATATATGATGCAGTAACGGACATTTGATGTATACTCGAGTTGAAACTTAAACCTAACCAGATGTTGTACGTGTATGTGTAATTCGATGAACTTAAAGTCCAAATCCAAATCCGCAGTGAATATCATCCAGAGAAAATCATCCCCATGAGAACAAGCAATTTATAGTTAAAAAAAAAACAAAGAAAATCGAAAAGTATCTAAATGTAATTGTTAGAAACATGCCAAGCAAAACCGAAAGATACCAGCAAGTTATATAGGCATCTATATTAGCCCCCCTCCTCTTCCCATTTCCCCTCCCTTAATTTTCGACTGAAATTGAATCGTCTAGTAGAGGCACTCGATGCGTATTCCCTGTAATTTTTGTCTGATTTTTCCTATTGACGTGCCGCCAATTATATCAGTGTATATAACTATTTAAAAACTAATATATATATATCTATATATATATTTAACGCATATATTGCACACATAGAGTTATGTAGCGTCATGTGTCATCAAGGATACCCACTTACATAGAGGAATATATATATATATATACATATATACAAAAGCAAGTAAATATTTATATGGGTAACGAGAGATCAGCATTTGTAGCACAGGTTGGCCAAATTTTTTGGGAATCACGAGTAAAGTTGCCGAAGGAAAACCAAATGAAAACTGTTTGTTGTGCTGTTAGCCGTAAATGAGAACTTTTTTTTGAGATAACTTAATAACTATACATAAATATATATTACAGTATATGTATCTATAACTATATAAAGCAGGCGACAGCAACAAAAGAAACTTAAACCAGATACCAGAAACTTGGCAAAATACCAAAAAACATAAAACTAAAAAAAATACCAAAAAAAAAAAGAAGAGAGAGAAAATAATACAAACGATATTGAAATGGCAAGTTTTGTACTATAATGAAATGAGAAAACACCAAAGACGAATGCAAAACAAAAAGAATGAAACCGAACACAAGACAAAACAAAATATACTAAAAGGATACAAAAAAATACCATAAATTGTGCGCTGGCGACGACGGTTGTTAGAAAAAAATAATGAAAGAAAAGGACATGCCGCTTGAAATGCCGAAATAAACGGGTCCTTTCGTTTCGGAAGTCGGCACTTCAAGCGAGTGGAGAATATCGGAAGATATTATATACATATAGATCACGTAACGCTGGCGTTACTGGGCAAACAGTTAGGCATTTTTTTTTTTTTGGAAATTTATACAATTACATTTACAAAAAGCTCACCCACAACTACAAGTACAGAGGAAACACATACTTACACACAACACACACACACATTGAAGTGAAAAGGGAAAGCGATTTGATGGGTAAAAAATTCTAAAGATTTCGAACCGAGAGAAGAAAAATGAATGAAAGCGGAATATCGGCAAATTATTTACCACTGAACTCGATCAGGCGTACTATAGTACTAAATAGGGCTTACCCAGGCTAAGTCACCCAAAATAAATATATATATGTAGTTACGAGCTGGATTTTGTTGTTTCGTTATTGTTTCGGTTATGTTTCGCCTCTCTCAGAATTACCATATACATATATATGTATATTCTATGTATATATATGTAGTTATGTATGTGAAAAGCGTATTCATTTATGAAATTAATGAAAATCTACCCTGAAAACCAAGAGAAAAACCCAAAGTCAAATACATAATTGCATGCAAGAGTAAGTAATATTAATGAAACCTAAGAATAAAAGTCACTCTGTCTGGCATTAAAAAAAAAGACCGCATGGCAAATGATAAATTATATAACAATGAATGAGTATGGAATACAGACGAGAAATGAAAATGAAAAATTAATGAATCTAAATAAATGAAAAGATAATATTTAAAAATAATCGAGTTGGGTTATTTCTTCAAGGATTCTTTTTCAGGTAAACTGGCGGCTTTATGTATCTTATTAATGTTATAATTTCTATAATTTTTTTAAAAAATGGCAGCATCAACTATTCTTTTTAAAAATGTGATATCATTGATAGCCAAATTAATGGGAATATTATTACGATCTCACCTATAAACCAAAAATACTTATTTCATTAGGTGGAATACAGAATCAGGACTTTTAACAAAAAAGTGAAGCCTACTTTCGTGCAGAGCTTAGTCGATACCTAAATATTACTGGAGCCTAAAGGTAAGCAACACTTTTGAGGCCTTTGAAAACAACAGTAGCACAAAAGCATGCTACAAACTGCATGGGCTAAGCCACAGCATTAAAGAAATCCATTTATTTAATATTTATTTAATAAATTTAATTTAATTATTATAACCTTGTTTGTTTAAAAAAATGTTTTTTTTTATTAAAATGATTTTTTTAAATATTTGTTGTTACTAGAAAACCAAACTTTTATTGGTGAATCGAAAGTTGAAGAAACAAATTTGAAGCAACAGAAAATTTGAGACGTTTACATGGCTTGATGGCGCAATTTAAGTAAAAAAAATACAACTTTGAACTAACCAAAATAAAAGGTTTATTTTTTATTAAAATATAGTATCCCCAGTGACTGGCGTCCCTAAACACCAAAAATCTACAAATAAAGGTTCCAAAATTATTCAAAATATAATTAACATTTAGTGTGAGAAACCAGAAAAATAAATTTCCACTGAAAGGATATATTTTTCTGGCGAGTGCATGCCAGTGCATGCAACTTAAAAAAAATTCGGTAAGCTTATTTATTAAAATATTATTATTTCTTTAATTGTCGCATATAAGCCAAAAGTGATCTCATTTAGCTTTCAGTCGCTATATTCACTATGACTTATGATTGTTGAGCTGCTTTATAGTGCACAACATTATGCCACTTGCAATGCAATCCAAGATCTCACGTCGCCCCTTGACTTTGACAGACCGTACTTTCAGTTTCCTCTTGCCATAATTTTTGGCACTTTATGTGCCAGCAGATAAGACATGTCTCTATAAGTATGCATCTCCGCTCTTTTTTGGGGTATCTTTTCTTTTTTTTTTTTGTTAATTTTTGGGCTGGCCTTTCAAGTGTTTAGCGTTAAACGTTTCCTTCGACCTCCTCGCTCTAAAGCCATTGATATGCGTTAGTGCTCGCCGGCCGGATCATTTGTTATTATCCTTTTTTTGGAAAACGGTTCACGTCGCTTTTGCCACTTCACTGGAGGACACATATAGGTCCCCTTCCCCCGAACAGCTCTCGAATATCAGGTCCATCCGTTTGTCTTTCAGTACCTCTTCCCTTTTCGGGGCTCACATGCGGTACAAAATCGGAGAATCCAAGACCGAGACCCAGAACCAGAACCAGAAACTCTCATCAGTAGGGGGTCCTAACTGCTGATTGGAGATTTTCCGTAAGTGCATTCAAGTATGGTTTAGATACTAAGTTGAACCCTTAAAAAGGTCGTTTTGGAGTGAAGGAAGTCCAGGGAGTTACCCGCAGATCATAGAAAATGTAGTGCCCTTTCTACGAATATAAACCATTTCATTTACATTATTTTCTACTCAATTGTACAAGAGTTCTCCAGATTATCCTTTGTATATTAATTTTCCACCTTCAATAATACATGATATATTATAATGTATAAACACATTTTATAAAACTAAAAACAAATTATTATGTATATTAATTATTTGCTTAAGTTTTAAATGATATGTATTATAAGATGATATATGATAATAATTAAATATATTTCATAAAATCAAAACTAGTTATTATATTTTTAAAATTATACCTTATTAATCGAAGTGTATCAATTAGTTCTTTACCTTTTCAAATGATAATTTCTTGAAACTACTAGGGGCCTAGTCCCTCTATCGATTGTCCACTGTACTCCATTGAATATGCTAAAAACTAACCCCTGATATTTCACTTTTTGTCCCCGTTCTCCCCGTAACCCAATGACCAAAGATTTTCATAATCTCCGCGTTGTTTTCGACTGTTTCCCTACTCCACATTATCTGCGGACCGTCCCCACCTCCGATTTTCCCCTTCACCCCGTCTTCGAAGATCACGTTCTCGATCCCGTTCCCGTTTTTAGTTCCCCCGTTCACACGTTGGCCATGGAAAATT